AACCGCTGTCTTTGCCCTGTGCCCATTCTAGCCATGATCTTAGCTTTCAGGTCAGTCGCTGCCTCGTTCAGCGTTATCGGTTCCATTGGGGCTTTGTACCCAATATCTGGTTGGGGAGTTGCAGTTGGTGGGATCTCCCCTCTGACCTCGGCAACTGTGGCAACTGTGGCATCATACATGTGTTGTACCTCATCAATCTCAAGCTGTGATAGCAGTTGCAGTTTGTGGATGTTGGAGCATTGAGCTACCAGTTGTTTCGGGGTCAACTGTGACTGTGGGTTTCGAAGTAACCATTCAGCCCACATTCTCTGCATGTAACCTCTTTGGCCAGGGTTACTTGAGTAGTAGCATTCCAACAGAGCCCTGTTATCGGATCTCGCCCACTTTCGCCTTGTTATATATATATATATATATATATATATATATATATATATATATATATATATATATATATATATATATATATATATATATATATATATATATAGCAGCAGCTGGATAGCTCAGTTGGTAGGGCACAGGACTGGGACCTGGGAGGCCAGGGTTCGAATCCCACCGGGAGCACATTAACACCAACATCCAGTGAGGGTCCTTGGGCAAGACCCTTAATGCTACTGCCTAACTCATAACCATGAAGGTACAAATAAGCAATGAGATGCCGGATCAGCCGTCGCCCGGCCAAACAAGGTCTGCGTCAGGTGCTGGGGAACCAGAGCACCTTGATGAAAAGTGGGCTACTGGAACAAGGCGAAAGTGGACGAGATGCGATAACAGGGCTCTGTTGGAATGCTACTACTCGAGTAACCCTGGCCAAAGAGGTTACATGCAGAGAATGTGGGCTGAATGGTTACTTCGAAACCCACAGTCACAGTTGACCCCGAAACAACTGGTAGCTCAATGCTCCAACATCCACAAACGGCAACTGCTATCACAGCTTGAGATTGATGAAGTACAACACATATATGATGCCACAGTTGCCGAGGTCAGAGGGGAGATCCCACCAACTGCAACTCCCCAACCAGATATTGGGTACATAGCCCCAATGGAACCGATAACGCTGAACGAGGCAGCGACTGACCTGAAAGCTAAGATCATGGCTAGAATGGGCACAGGGCAAAGACACCGGTTACAGCGGTTGTGTGAAGTACCACCTAAGGATCTCATAGAAAGCGTGAATGCAGCAGTGAGGGCAATACCTACCACCACAATCACTGAAACCAATGAGCTGATATACACTTCAGCAGCAGTGATCCTAGAGATGCTTGGCTATAAGAGCAACCATGGGAGCCATGGACAATACCCACCATGGAAAAGACGGTTGGAGGCTAAGATCAAGGCGGCTCGGAGAGAAGTGAGTCAATTAACAGAGGCCCAGAGAGGTGCAATGAAAAGACCAGTACCCAGAAAGTACAGCCAGATGACCATACCTGAAGCACTCGAAACTGCCAAACAAAGGCTCCAAGCCCTGGCCAGCCGCCTACAGAGGTACACTAAAGAGAATGAAGCCAGAAGGGTGAACAGGCTGTTCGCAACACAACCTGCGAAGGTGTACGCTCAGTGGCAGGGTAACAACAGGGGAGCAGATCCACCGAGGCTGGAAACTGAACAGTTCTGGAGGAACATATGGGAGAAGGATGCAGCACATAACAGAAGTGCACAATGGCTGGTGTCCCTGAGAGAGGAGCACAGCCACCTCCCAGAACAGAACTCAGTTACCATCACAGAGGCAGACATCCGAGAAAGAGTCTCAGGTATGACAAACTGGACAGCACCTGGCCCTGATATGGTCCATGCCTACTGGCTAAGGACACTCACATCACTCCATGAGCGCCTAGCAGCACAAATGAACCAGCTGCTGAGAGATGGGACTCACCCAGAATGGCTAACCGAAGGGCGAATGGTCCTGATCATGAAGGACCCTGTCAAGGGTGCAGTCCCCTCCAACTACCGGCCAATAACCTGTCTCTCCACAACATGGAAGCTCATGTCAGGCATCATTGCGGCTAAGATAAGTGGGCATATGGAACAATTCATGAGCACAGCACAGAAGGGCATTGGTAGGGACACCAGAGGAGCCAAACACCAGCTCCTGGTTGACAGAACAGTCGCCCAAGACTGCCGGTCACGACACACCAACCTGTGCACAGCCTGGATTGATTACCAGAAAGCCAGAAATCATGGAATGCTTGAAGTTGTACAATATCAACAGGGCTCTAAGGGACTTCGTTGCAAACTCGATGGGAATGTGGAAGACTACCCTTGAGGCAAATGGCAAGCCGCTCGCACAAGTGACCATCAAATGTGGTATCTACCAAGGAGATGCTCTGTCCCCACTACTGTTCTGCATAGGCCTCAACCCTCTAAGCCAAGTAATTGACCAGACTGGCTATGGATACCGCCTCAGGAACGGAGCAAAGATCAGTCACCTCCTCTACATGGATGACATCAAGCTGTACGCCAAGAGCGAGAGAGACATCGACTCTCTGATCCAAACAACCAGGATCTACAGCCATGACATCGGGATGTCATTCGGGCTCGAGAAATGTAGCAGGATGGTGACTCGGAGAGGCAAGGTAGTCCACACAGAAGGGATCTCACTCCCAGAGGGAACAATAGCAGACGTTGAGGACAGTTACAAGTATCTCGGTATACCACAGGCAAATGGCAACCTCGAACAGGTGACGAGGAAAGCGGCAACTGCCAAATACCTCCAGCGAGTAAGGCAGGTCCTAAGAAGCCGGCTCAATGGCAAGAACAAGGCCCGGGCAATTAACAGCTACGCCCTGCCAGTGATCAGATACCCTGCAGGAATAATCAGGTGGCCAAAGGAAGAGATTCAGACCACGGATGTTAAAACTCGAAAGCTCCTTACCATGCATGGCGGGTTCCATCCCAAATCCAGCACCCTGAGACTGTACGTAAGCCGTAAAGAAGGAGGCCGAGGACTAGTGAGTGTGAGAGCCACTGTCCAGGACGAAACATCCAAACTCCATAACTACATCATGGAGAAGGCCAAAACGGATGACGTACTCAGTGAATGTCTCAGGCAGTGGCGAGATGAGGAGGTGCTGGAGGAGAGCCCATCATGGGAGAACAAGCCCCTACACGGCATGTACCACCGGAGCATAACAGAAGTGGCTGATCTCAAGAAGTCCTACCAATGGCTAGAAAGGGCTGGCCTACAGGACAGCACAGAGGCACTCATCATGGCTGCACAGGAACAGGCACTGAGCACCAGAGCGATAGAGGCCCAGATATACCACACCAGACAAGACCCAAGGTGTCGGTTGTGCAAAGAGGCACCTGAGACGATCCAACACATAACTGCAGGGTGCAAGATGCTGGCAGGGAAGGCCTACATGGAACGCCATAACCAAGTGGCTGGCATAGTGTACAGAAACATCTGTGGAGAGTATGGGCTGGAAACCCCAAGGTCTAAGTGGGAAACTCCTCCAAAGGTGGTGGAAAATGAGCGTGCGAAGATCCTGTGGGACTTCCAGATACAGACCGACCGAATGGTAATGGCAAACCAACCTGACATTGTGGTGGTAGACAAAGGGCAGAGGACAGCCGTGGTGGTGGACGTGGCAATTCCAAGCGATGGTAACATCCGGAAAAAAGAACATGAAAAGCTTGAGAAATACCAAGGTCTCAGAGAGGAGCTGGAGAGGGCCTGGAGGGTAAAGGTGACAGTAGTGCCCGTGGTGATCGGTGCACTCGGGGCAGTGACCCCGAAGCTAGATGAGTGGTTACAGCGGATCCCCGGAACAACCTCGGACATCTCGGTCCAGAAATGTGCAGTGCTAGGAACAGCAAAGATACTGCGCAGAACCCTCAAGCTCCCTGGCCTCTGGTAGAGGACCCGAGCTTAGAGAGGGATAACCGCCCGCGGAGGGCCAAAGGTGAGTGGACAATTTATATAAATAAATAATTGCACATCACACAACACACACACAAATATACGATATAAGTTACTGCTTTATTACCTAGCTGTAAATGCTTCAATAACATATCGATATATTTCTGTCGATATATATATTCATTAGTGTAAGAGATATACATATCTGCCATGATAATAAGTGAATAAAGTGACAATCAGTGGACATTCTGAAGTGGCAATATTGCACATTGTACATGATTACAGTATTTACTATTTGCAGATGAATGACATGTACAGGCTCAGCAGTTCTCATTGTACAGTCTGACAGCAGCAGGAAGGAAAGGCCTGCGGAACCTCTCCTTAACTCAAGAAACACATAGAGCCATTGGTCCTGAAGGGAGGATGACCATGTCCATATTTTTATTTTTTATTGTACGTAATAATTTCCTGCACAGACTATGGTTTTTAACCTTAACATGTTTACACACTTCTGTCTTTTGCACAATCTGAGTGATTCTGTCTATGCCAAATGTGACATGTACATTCCTCCAGAGTGAGATCAATAAAGTCTATCTTATCTTATAAAATGTGATGGATCAGGTCAGTCTGTCACTCCACGCGGTTCCTCAGATAAGTGCCCGACCTGTAGAGTGACTAGCTAGGCCTCAAACAGCGGCGTTATAGCTGAGCAACAGGTGTATGCAGCAGGCGGTAAATAGTGTGTGATATGTGTGTGTGAAAACCCTAAGTTTTTCTTTTGCATGCGGTGAACACAATCAAAGCAGATAAGCCCCAGGCAGTTTCTCCCATCCGTGGCGCCTCCAGCTCACAGCACCTGCGCTCTCGGTGGTCTGTGATGCTCCCGCTAGTTCCCGATCGCACTGTGGATAAAGGGAAGTTCAATTCAATTATATTTGTTTTTGAACAGCCCTAACTCACAACAGAAGTTATCTCGGAGGACTGAAAAAACCAGCACAGATCAGAGAATCAACAGTTTAAACACAAGAAATGCAATGATAAATAACACCTAGAGCCTTTGGTGCCTAAGGGACAGATGACCAATGTCCATAAAGTCAACAAGTAAGCAAACACGTCCCTCCACTTAACTTGCCCGATGCATTCAGCTTGGTGTCCTTTTCTCGAGATCGGCCTCTCTGGGATAGTCCTGCTCCGGCCTCGTCCCGCTCCGGCCTCGTCCCGCTCCGGCCTCGTCCCGCTCCGGCCTCGTCTCGCTCCGGCCTCGTCCCGCTCCAGTCTCTATGGAGCTGTGGAAGATGGCCCTGAGCAACAAGATCGCTATCACAAAAACACACACAAACGGCAGAAACTGTGGATATGGTCACTTGACTGGTTAGCATTGCTGCTTCCTGACCACATCTTGTCCTTTGCTCGCCCAGCCTCATCCCGCTGGTTACCTCTCGTGCACTCTACCGTCCTCTGCTTGACTCTCCACGGTCCACTTCTCCAGTTGTGCTCCTCCTTTCTCCAGTTCCAGACCCCGTCTCCTCCTCTCGGCTTGGCTGGGTCTGCTCTCTGAGGTCTACACCCATGGCCTGGGTCGCTAGCTTTTGCCTTCCTCGTTCCTCTCCCCTTCATGCTGCCTCCTGCTTATCTCTTCTTCCAGTCTTGTGCTCAAAGCGCAGCTGCCCTGAGATGACCAGGGCCAGGATGGGGACAACAGCTACATGGGTTGCCAGGGGGAACTCTGGAAGGTGGGGTACATGCAAAAATAAAAAGCACACAGCATAAATAAAACACATTAAACCTCATTAAAGAAGCTATACCCGATTTTTTTTCTAAGTAGTTCATAAAAATGCTTTTTACTACATACAAGTTGTATCATAATACATAATTTAATTGAAAACTTAAGGTAATTGATTCAGCTGTGTATGAAATTTATGCCGTGAAAAGTGCTGAGTGGAGTCTTAACGGGCCGTTTGTTCTCCTCCACTCACAGAACGAGCAGCGACCAGCCTGCGTCCTCTAGCCTCTACAGCGCTACTTAACACCAGGGCTTCGACTTCAAAATTCAAATATAATTCTAAAATAAAAAATATATATTCGACCAAATATTAGACAGCCCTTATAATTCGAAATGTATTTAATGACTGCAAATAAAATAGTTAGCTCCCAAAGGTTTCACCGGGACGTGCTAGGCAGGTAACGGCTAAGCTAGCTAGCTGTTTCATGGTAACTTCCGGGTTTTTCGCAATCGTTTTTTGTCACTTAAAAACAGTATTTTTGTCATGAAAACGTTGACAGCAAATTCTGAAATCGTCCGTGCAAGTGTGTTAAGGATGTATATGTATACTGTATTGTCTGATTAACGTTTAATGGTGTCGATTGATTGATATGTATTTGTTTATTAAGTGTGGCTAGCTCCGCTAGCTTCCCTCGTTGTACTTGCGGAGTAATGGCAATATTTTACACACCTGAATTACAAACAGAGATTGCATTGTCAAAGGGCAGCGGTCATTATTGGTTTGAGAGTTCTGTTATCAAGAAAAAATGGTCGGTAGAATTCCATTCAAGTCAATGGAGTGTTCTACTGCTGCGAGGAGCTGTATAATTAATTATAATTAATTACACTAGATGGCTCTGTGTTATGAGAGCGTAGGGGAAATGAGAAGCCATTGAGCAAGTTGGGGGGCGGTGCTAAACATTCAAACCTTGCAGAAACGGGTATAGCGCCTTTAAACACACAGAGTAAAAGGACACCTGTCGGGGTCCTTTTACTCTGCCTCATGGAAATCTCTCCGGCAACCTCAGACTGACACAAACAACTGAAATATAGTTTTCCTGTGATTCTGACTGTATGACAACAATAACTGCCAAAAGGCCATATTTAAAGTGGAGCCACATGGTTTCAGACACGAGCTCTAATCTCTAATCCCTGGGCCTCAGTCGGATGCCGCTCCAGCCGCACTATTGTGAGAAGCACAAATGAAAGGCTGGGAAGAGATTAGGGCCAGCGGTTCTTCTGTTGGACTTTTCAGTGAGCAAAGAAATCTCATTTATTCAAATATTTCTGAAGCATTTATTTTTTTGAAAAAAGGTTACATTTGGAAAATAAACAATCAACTATTTCCATTTACATTGGATTCTGTACTTTAAAATAAATCTTTGTACACTGTGGCTCTTTATTTATTTTAAGTGAATTCTGTTTAAGAAACTCTTCTCTCAAGAATCTCCTTTTGCTCTTTAGCCCCGCCCATTATGTCCCTTAGTCCCGCCCCCAGGAAAACACGTGCTCGAACTTTAGTAAGTAAGTAATCTTTATTTATATAGCACCTTTCACAGACCAGTGTGTGAGAACGAGGTCGCCATAACGGAGGCACATGCCAGATCTACTGTTCATGTTTTTAGTGATAGGGGAAACTGGTGCATCCGGAGGAAACATTTGCAGACACAGGGAGAACAAACAAACTCCACTCAGAAAGGCCCTGTTCCGGGACTCGAACCCAGGACCTTCTTGCTGAGATGCAAGAGTGCTATCCACTCATCAATCATGTTAGACTGATAGCAGAATGTAATTTCCTACTCCTACCACTAGTTGACATTCCCATTTAAATGAACGACATCAACATGAACATTATTATTCAACTTCTGATATGGATAGAAATTAAATATCCCTGAGCGTATAGCATTGTGTTCGGTGCTGGGTGACATTTGGAGGCTTGGCCAGACAAGGACAGGACGGAGCCATGTCTGTGTCTCCGCTGTCCCACCGCACACACTGGGACGAGGTCTGCAGAAGGACAGGACAACACCTGTTTTATAAATAAGACTGCAGCGGGAATAACAAGGTCACGGCAAATGGGAGAGGAGAATCTGCTGAGCACGACTATGAGAAGGAGTCTGTTAATACAAATGTAACAACTAACTATTGCAGTTGTCGATCAGTCAACCATATTTTTGATTAGTTGACAAGTCAGCATTGATTTTTTTTTTTTATAAACAAAAACAAGACAACAAACCTGTTCTGTACGTACAATTTCTATGTACATTATAACTAGGGCTGTCAAACGGTTAAAAAAAACGTATTTATGTGTTTTGTTTGTATGGTTGGATATGTTTCTGCTGCCATTGGACACCTAAATGTCTCCCACCTCCTCCTTACAGGGGATTGATAAAGTATTTATCCATCTATTAATTTCATAGTTAATCACACATCTGTCTCTGTTCTAAATGTTCCTTGATTTGGTTTGAAAAGTGATTGGATGAAGCAAAAAGTTTATATGAATCCGTTTCCCTCCATAAAGATAGTATTTGGATCGACTGAGATCGGCTTCTCAGTCTCATTTTATCAGTCTGTTGTAGCTAGTTTTATGTTGGGGGCAGTCTGACCTCGAGGGACAGTAACCGGCTCGACAGGCTGATCAGGAAATGTGTCTCTGTGATGGAGAAAACATGCACAATAGGTCAAATCCTCCAGCTCCTGTCCTGACCAAGCCAAGCATCGACATCTGGGTTCCCGGGCGCTGTTACTATGCCGACCACTGCTCCTGACGTAAGCCTTAGTGGAATCAGGATGGGTCAAATGCAGAGGATGAATTGCCCTACGTGGATTAATAAACTGTACCTCTACCTTTACACACAGAGATAGAAAAGAAACAACTAACTTCAGTGTGTGCCATTTTACTTTGCGCACACAGTTTAGCTCCTGGATAAATGTAATATACTGCTATAATTCAGACTGTACCTTCTTCACATTCTTTAACATCAACAGAATCAAGTGTTTTTGGATTTGTTTTATAGTTCATACTTTATATCTGACTTTTCAGATCAGAATCAGAATTATTTTATTGCCATGTGAGAAAGTCACAAACGAGGAAATTGCTTTGGCTCTCAGTGCAAACAAGTTAAAGCAGAACAAAAACAAGAAGGCATGCAGGTATAGGTGCAGGCTCTATATATTTTCTATATTTGTATGGACAAAATGAGTCCAGCTACTTGGATTGTCAGGGCATCAGGCTACTATTCTGATCAGCTTGGTTTGTTGTCAGTGCACACCATTGTCATGTTGCTTATTATATTCTGCATAATAGATCTCTGTTAAAACTCGCATGTTATGGAAGAAGCATGAGTGGCTTCAGTTTCTACTATGGGGACTGGTGTTGTGTGATAGGAGGAGGCTGGTGCTCTGTGAGGTGGAGGTGTGGGGTTGGGGGCTTTTTACCGGGTGTCTAGACAGAAAGTAATCATCCACAGGCAGCGGTGTGATGACCAGGCACACTTTTCACTCGACTCTGAAACCGAGAGGTCCAATACGCTCCATGTATTTAACACAAATAACATGACACATAAAAAAACATTTAAAAAACGAAATCATACCCTTTCCCTCCTAGGCAACAATTATTGAAACAAACATTCCACTTGAAAGTCTGTCTGTCTGTCTGTGTCTGTCTGTCTAATGACAGTTCTGGAGATGGAAACATGCAGCCAAAACATGTTAACAAAGGGATACATCAAACTTGATCTCCAATTCCCGGTCCGTGGAATATTCAAACCGGGCAAAAAGGAAAGAATAAATAATTAACGTATTTATTATCTGGGTCCAAATGATTTTGCAACATAGGCTTGTAATACAGTATTACAAACATGTGAATGAGAATGATGTGCGGTGGAAGGTATGAGGCTTCTTTGCAGAGTGAAGACACTCAGGGTGAAGACAGATGTTCACAAGCACTGTGTCCCCCGCCCTCAGCCCTGGTTTAGTCCTGCTTTAGCATCTGTTTTGGTTGTTTTTGTGTGTTTGAATCCTGTGACCACTTTGCTGCTCTCTGATGTGGAGAGAGGATTTTGGCTGCTACACCGCAGTTTTCACGGCAATAAGATCCATGCTTCCTCTGTTGTTGTTTCGGGGCATATTGTGACGTGCGAAAACACAAAACTCTGGTTATTAGGCCATGTGCTAGTTCATGAAAGAGGTCTAGAATTTGACTTTTGTTCCAGGATTGTGGGAAATACTTTCTTTATGCTTTGTGTTAATGCTAAATGGTTACAGTTAGCCCCAGAAAAAGTTCAACAAACAGAATCCCTGTCGGATTTTTTTTTTTTTGTCAAAGTTGTGGTTTTGATTGGAAATTTGACATTTTAGCCTGATGTACCATGTTTGGAGGTTTATAATTGCAGAACTACCTATTTAATCAAAAACCAAATTACTTGGCCATAGAGATCACACCAAAAATGATGTATTCCTGGAATATCCTCCTCCCGCCCATTCACTCAAGTCCTCTGTAGTGGACATTTTGTTCACCTGCATCCTCCTTGAGTATTTGGAGTTACCCTATCAAGTCCAGTTGTACTCTGTAGAGGACATCCTGGGCTTTCCAGTGATGTGCCATGTGATTGGTTTGCATGCTGGGAACTATACTTCTTTTCTCTTTCAAAATGACTGCCATACCAACAACCACATTTTATGGAAAGATGAGAGGTAAGTAAAATAATCCCTATGTATTGCTATTTTTACCATGAAAATCATATATATTCTTGTCCACTACCATGTAAATAACAATAAGTATACATCTGAAAAGAGTTGTGTGAGTTATGTCTACTGTAGTGTTATTACTACTCTACTGTAGAAGTTATACCCC